CCATCCATCCACCCATCCATCCACCCATCCATCCACCCATCCATCCATCCATCCATCCATCCATCCATCCATCCATCCATTCATTTATAAAAAGAGTATTCCCTGTCATCACCCTCCTGGCTCACACTCCCCTCCACCACAAACCCACATCCTTAAAATTGTGGATTTTGATAAGAGGATGTCCTCTTAATCACTTGGGCTTCCCGGTGCATTGGCCACTTCAGCTCCCGTGACCTTCATTCCAGCTCAATCACAGGCAAGGATGATCTCATCATCACGCACAACTCCTACATGTTGCAAAACTCGGAAATTTCTCTTTGTTCATAACCTTATCTACACATTCTTCCAGTGTCTCCCCTCCTAAATTTATTCCTTGACTTCATTACACCCTCCTCTCTCACTACCCTTCTTTCCTTTCTCAACAGGTTACCCTTGCGTTGGACTTAGTTTCTTCCCTTCGGTCTTGAATCCTATAGTTAAACGTCACACTGTCTTCTACCCTTAAGTTGTCCTATCCCCATTCATCTCTTTCTTAACCCCACTTATGGATTTTGCAAACCCATCATTCGATTTCTACAGTTCTACTTAGGTGCTACTAGACTCAGCTAGAGAAAGTCAGGTAATCATACTTTTATAGCATTGTAACATTTAAATTAGCATAGCGGGGAGTCGATCCAGGAGTCCTAATCGACTCGATTAGATTACAGGGTGTGGATTTGGCTGCAGGCTTCTGAAGGGCACCTCCCAGAGAGGTAGATTTGCACACTGACACACCTTACTGCTTTGAGCTTCAGTGCCTGGAGCTGCCTCCTGCTAACTGGTTGACTTGAGGCTCAAAGTAGATGGATTCTAGTTGGAGGGGTTGTCTCTGTAGTGTATAAGAGTACAATTTAAAAGTGAGCTGTGAAATAGCTCAGCCCTTTTCTCATGCTTTCTTTTCTTTGGACTTCCAGACTTGAGTACAGCAAGTATTAAGCAAGTAGTATCCTTTGATAGACATTTAAGTGCTAAGCAAGCAGTAACCTCTGATAAAGTTTGTTGAATTTGTATAACTGTATTTGGGGGCAATTGTGATATCTGCCTGTATGTGTGCAATAGTATAAGTGCTGTGCCGTGTTGACTGTGAGTCTCAAAACATTTTCTTGTATATTAGTGGGGAAGTAAGCAAATGAACAATACTTAAGCCTCCCCAGGACCCCAGAGAGCTTTTCTATGTTGAGGATATGTATAGTGAGTTCAAAATACATCCCAGTGATTTGCTGAGGACAGAAAATATTTCAAAGGGGTGAGAGGAAGGAGGAAGGAGAAATGTGGCTTCTTTGTGTCCCCTGTGACTGAGGTTTTAGTGCTATAGAATGACAGTCTTTTGATTGGCTGAGGAGTAGGAAGGACTAATCTTAAGGAGTCGGATCTGAATGTACACATAAGAGGTCCCAATAGTAATGGCTCTTACCCTATGGTTTTTGAGTGAGGAGGACTGCTGTGAGCCACCAGGTGGAGAGAAGGGTAACAGATGACTTATCTCTTCACTTGTCTGCCCTTTGTCTGTGAATGTTTCTGTTTCTTTTGCCTCTCTTTTATATATTCTTTTCTGACCTTAGCCATAATCCATCAGGGTACAATCTTGTGAGCTTCCAAAGGTCTGAAGATGAATTAAGGATCTCTTCCATAGCCAGTGTCGGTGGCAGAGACCCCTGGAGCTAGTAGCTGTGACAGTCAAGTGCCAGCACAGCAGATGAGCAGTTTGTTTGATCTAGCCCAGCATTAGATTGACCAGTCAGCTAAGACATCCTATTTTGAAAGATGAAACCCTCTATGCAAGGGTGTGACTCATCCATTATAGCAACATTTTCTTGAAATGAATGGACTTCCAGGGTCAGAAGTTGCAATTATGTTCCCTACAAATCCAATCCCGCTGCCATGATACTTGAAGTTTGTGCTCACCTGTCCCCTCTATGGGGTGAGGATTGTGGAAGGGAGTATACTCCTGGATTGAGAGAAATTAATTTCCATTCTTGCTCTCCCTTCTCAGTGAATCCCTTTATAAAAGCTAATTCATATCAACTGGTTGATTAATATGGAGAAGCAGAAACAAGCTGGATGAGAGCTCATGAACAACAGTATTTTTAAAAATCATTAATTTATTTTTAGTTTTCAACATTCACGTCCACAAGATTTTGAGTTTTAAATTTTCTTCCCCTCCTCTGCTTCCCCCCCCAAAGAAGGCATGCAATTTGATATAGGCTCTACTTATACATTCATGTTAAGCATATTTTCCCATTAGTCATGATGTAAAGAATAATTGGAGCTAATGGGAGGAACCATGAGAATGAAGCAATAAAACAAAATGACAAAGGAAAAGGAGAATAAATAGTATGCTTCCATCTGCTTCCAGACTCCATAGTTCTTTCTCCAGATGTGGATAGCATTTTCCATCGTGGAGTCTTGGAGTTGTCTTGGATCCTTGTATGGCCTTAGAAGAGTCAAGTCTACAAAGTCAGTCATTGAACAATGTGGCTGTTACTATGCACAATATTCTCCTGGTTCTGCTCATTTCACTCAGCATCATCTCTCCAGGTTTTTCTGAAATCTGCCTGTTCATCATCTTATTGCATAATAGTACTCCATCACATTCATATACCACAACTTGTTCAGCCATTCCCCAATTGATGGGCATCCCCTCAATTTCCAATTCTTTGCCACCACAAAAAGAGCTGCTATAAATATTTGTGTACATGTGGGTCCTTTTCCCATTTTTATGATCTCTTTGGAATACAGACCTAGAAGTGGTATTGCTGGATCAAAGCGTATGCATAATTTTATAGCCCTTTGGGCATAGTTCTAACATGAGCAGTAGTATTAAAAGCCACAACCAGGGTAGCTAGATGGAACAGTGGATAGAACACAGGAGGACCTAAGTTCAAATCCAGCCTCAGACACTTTACTAGCTGTGTGACCCTGAGCAAGTCACTTAACCCTGATTGCCTTAAAAAAAAAACCCCTCAAGTTTATATTTAGAACCCTGGGGGTGGGAAATGGGAGGAGTCGATAGTAGTTCTTTTGGGGAACTGACCTACCAGCACAGAGTGAGTTGAAAGAGTGAATGCAGAGGGTATGTTTTACCAAACAGAGCACTTCTAAGGGGAGAGAAAGAAAAGTCATGCCATGAAGGGCCAAGAGATCTGGACTTTGCTAGCTATCAGTAATAATTATAATGAGTATTTCAGGTGGTACAAGTTCAAGGTGAATGGGGAGTACTGGTTTAGCAGCCCTAAAAGGACTTTGTCCCTATTGTACAATGAATGGCTGTGTAGGAGTTGGGAGCCCTGTTACCTATATTTGGGGAAACCTAGACACCAGGATCTTTGTCAAGAAAACCCCAAATAGAGTCACGAAGGGTCAGATACAGCTGAAACAACTGAATGACAACAAGACACCAGCTGTATAACTAACCTTTGTTCAAATTTCCCAATAGTTTATTCAGATTTCCTCAAAATTTTAATCCAGGGCTGAGGCAATGAGCCAAAGAAAGGCAATGACGGTGTTCTGGGTTCACTGCCCAGGATTGTATTCAGGTTTATCTGAGCCTAGAGTCCTTTGGCTATACATTATCTAATTTCAACTGTTTCCCCCTGTTGCGATGTGACAGTCCTTTGCTCTTCCTGAACAACTATTATACTCTCCACAGAATCTGTTCCAAAACTTCTTTTTTTAATTGGTGGCTAAAGTACTGTACAAACAAGAAAAACAAATTTCAGCTTCTGTTAAAGCTTAAAAATGTAATTAGATTTTAAGAAATATCTTTTATTTTCCATGGAAGGAATTAGTCTGAAGTGACCTGTTTTATAGATTGATTTAGACTGTAGGGAGTTTAGGAGGATGAAAGATTTGGGGTTGCCAGCAGCTCAGATTGACTTGAGGTGAATGAATTATTTTTGGCTTTTTTGAGGTCTTCTGTGTTTTAAAAATTTCTCTTCCCTGG